GCGTCATCTCACTGATCGCACTCTATTTTCCTATTGGCGGATGCAATCAATCCAACGCATGCGCACAACACTCAAAGTACTCTTAGAAAGAGAGGGAAATATATATTCCCGCACCGTGGTTCTGGGACCGCTTCCTCTCACTCCCTCTTATAGGCACTAGCCATATAGTAGTATTACATATATGGTGAAATCGCAGCCTTGATGCTCCCATGTAAAAGCCATGTAAGGGTGCCGTCCCATGGCACGGAAAACGGAATCGGAACACGGAATCGGAAAAGTGAAGTGGTAGGGGCAACCAATCAGCATCGTTCCGTTCCGATTTTAAGTAGCCTGGCTCCCCATGGGGCATAATTTTCGGAAACGGAAATTTTTCGTACTCTGTCGATCGCTAGCGATCGGATTCGCTCGTGAGCGCTCGTGCGGTGTGGACCACTTCAGTGTGCCTGTGCTACTTCGACCGTCTCCCGTGTCTCGTAGGCCATCGCCTGCATCTTTTAACTGTGGTGCCTTTCCTTTCAAAGGCTTTTTTTTACCGATTTATTACTGTGAGTACGTTTTGCTATCTAATCCTTGCGGGGCTTCCCGCCATGCAGGAAGGTGCGGCCGCCCCGCCGGATCCCGGCGGCGGTTCGACGCCATTGAATAAGAGTTTTTCCCAGGGAATGGAAGTAACTCGTTACTTGTAATCGCTTGGTATCGTTTGAGTCCAACAGAATGCACGAAATTTGAAATTAACACTGCAAAACAAATACGTATATTGTTGTCAGACACGAAATTCTACACCTTTCCCTGTTCAGAAACGTTGACTTTCCATGGGAAGTAACTTCCCCCCCCCTCTCCCTGCACAGGAGCACACGACTTCTACGATTATACTGTCGGGACAGACCTCTGTCCATCTCTCCCTCCCCCCCTGCTGAGGGGCGAACGACTTCTACGATTGTACTGTCGGGGCAGACCTCTGTCCATCTCTCCCACCCCCCCTGCTGAGGGGCGTACGACTTCTACGACTATACTGTCGGGGCAGTCCTCTGCTGAAGGCCACCCCCTTGCACCCGCCCGTGTGTGTGTGTGTGTGTGTGACTGTGACAGATTTCCTAACCTAAATAGTCGTCAATTTTAACGTTAAATATCTCGGTTCGTAGGGCAGAGCGACACTTTTTTCTGCCAGATTTTTTCGTTTCATGCAAAAATGCGTCGAATAAGCCTAATTTGATCGATTTTTAAGATGAGGCAGCAATTCTGTATAATTACCCAAAATTCAATTAAACAGAAACAAGGTTTGTTTGACATGCGCAGTCACGAATTGAAAACGACTATCAGAGCGACAGAGAGGACTAATGAAGCGCAAGAGTGGGGGAAGTTATCCGCCGTCACTTTTTGGCCTACCCCCACTACCGATATTTGACCGAGTTTACTCTCCTGGTTCTAGTCTTCTTGGAAAAGAGATAGAACAATCCTATCTCTTTTCTATTAATGTTCCGTTACTGTTCCGTTCCGTTATTTCTGACTCCATGTGACTGCACCCTTATCCGATATCCGGTTTTACCCTACGACGGCTTGTTGTCTAATCTCTGTTATAGTTATCTCTACTCCGCGACTATTTCTTTCTCTTTCTATCAAGTCTTCAGTTTCTCTCGTATGAACGCTCCGTCTATCTTATAAGTCTATGTTGGAAATCCGACCATTTATCGTAAACACTCTGTAACGATGCATCCCCCATCGTTCTGGCTAACACCACCCAGCCGAACGCCGCTGCATCGCTGATTGCGATGCAGTGATGAGGGCGCATAGCGCCCAATAAAATAAGAAACATAATTCACAGGTACAAAGCGGCCGCGTAACACCGAGCACCGCCGATCGAGACCGAAGTAGAGCGATCGCCGCGGATTCCCACTTCTTGGGACTCAGACCCGAACACCGCAAAGTACGGGAAAACGCGAGCGAAAGCGGAAAACCACGAACGCGGCATTTTCGTTCGTATAAAAATGCCACGTTACGAGAAAAGAGTGATTCCTGTCCCGACCTGCTCCTGACAACGAATCCCGAGATCCTAGCAAGCCTACACGACACCGAGAAAAACGGGCCAGAGCGTTCTCTAGCTCCGTCGAGAGTTCTCGACAGGTCTCTAGTCAGGCATCCTAGTGCACCGAACGGCAAAGAACCGAGGGGCAGAGTGTGCTCTGCCTCTGCCGAGCGTTCTCGGCAGCCGTCTCGGTGCAACGTGCAACCACCACTGCATCACACACTGCGATCGACCAGCAGTCGCCCGG